TTTAATTTCCAATTTATATACCGCCCTTCTCCCTGAGGACTCAGGGCGGTGTACAGCCAAGATAAAAAACATAGGATACAAATATTAAAACATTTAAACATATATATAAATTTTGGCCCGAAAGTTAAGAATCACAGACTAATTAAAAGAATTTAAAAATTTTAAAATTTTAAAAATTTCTTCTTAGGCCAACCCGGCTTGTTGAAAAAGATGGGTTTTCAGGGAACGACGGAAGGCATTGAGGTCCTGGATTCTTCTTATCTCCGGGGGCAACTGATTCCAGAGGGTGGGAGCCCCCACAGAGAAGGCCCTCCCCCTGGGGGCCACCAGCCTACATTGTTTGGCTGATGGCACCCTGAGGAGGCCCTCTCTGTGGGAGCGCACGGGTCGATGGGAGGTCGTCGGTAGCAGCAGGCGGTCTCGGAGATAGCTAGGCCCTATGCCATGGAGCGCTTTAAAGGTGATAACCAACACCTTGAAGCGCACCCGGAAGACCACCGGGAGCCAGTGCAGCTCGCGCAGGAGCGGTGTTACATGGGAGCGCCATGTTGCTCCCATCACTACCCGCGCTGCTGCATTCTGGACCAGCTGGAGCCTCCGGGTGCTCTTCAAGGGGAGCCCCATGTAGAGAGCGTTGCAGTAGTCAAGGCGAGAGGTGACGAGGGCGTGAGTGACTGTGCACAAGGAATCCCGATCAAGAAAGGGCCGCAACTGGCGAATCAGGCGAACCTGATAAAAGGTCCCCCTGGTAACAGCCGTCAGATGTTCCTCCAAAGACAGCTGCCCATCCAGGAGGACTCCCAGATTGCGAGCCCTTTCAGTGGGGGCCAAAGACTCGCCCCCAATAGTCAGTGATGGAGTCAACTGACTATATCGGGATGCCGGGAGCCACAGCCACTCAGTCTTGGAAGGGTTGAGCCTGAGCCTGTTCCTCCCCATCCAGATCCGCACAGCCTCCAGGCACTGGGACATCACTTCAAGGGCATCGTTGGGGTGGCCTGGGGTGGAAATGTACAGCTGGGTGTCATCAGCGTACTGGTGGTATCTCACCCCAAAGCCACGGATGATCTCGCCCAGCGGCTTAAAGACTGTTGTCAGTGATTAGCAAGTAAAAAAGAGCATATGTCATAAAGTGTAAAATTAAAAAGAGAGAAGTTTGTATTAAATTTGTTTTTTATGATAAAAAAATCAAGAAAAGCTCATGTTTTCATCAGCCCCAGCCAGCATAGTGATTACTTATGTACTGTAAGAAATACTGCGTTGTAGTGCAGCAACATCATGAGAGTCACATGTTCCTCATTCCTACACTAGAAGACAGAGTTATTTGAGATGGTGTTTTTCAATATAGTTGTCAGTTTTGGAAGCCATTTTTTTCTTTTAGCTTCTTGACTGTCACATTTTTTAGCCTGGAAAATTGGGAGAGGGTATTTGTTGAAGCGGTGGAAATTTAGCCACAACAACATTCCTTACTCTGGGAGTCAAGGACATATGCCTGCACCTGGATGGGAGTGGCTGGGGATTGTCTCCAGTTGCATTCGAAGAATGGATTGGACCATGTGATGATTTTTTGGGTGTGAACTTTCAACTGGGTGGGGAAAACCTGGAAGCTTTCAGATTCGGATTTTCCTAGATGTGCCAACATGACATCTCTAATAAAGTGGAACTTTGAGGAATTTCTAGTCTCAGAGTCTTCTTTCATTGGGGGTGTTACTCGGAACCCTGACATTAACCCGAATCTGACAATAGTTTTAGCATTAAAAATACATAATAGTACACATATTTTCAGTAATAAATATATAGATTGGAAAATGTATACAAAAATACTGTGTTTTCCTGTGTTTTTTTGAACCCTAAAATAAGTGCTTGGCCTTATTTTCAGGGAGGTCTTATTATTTTGGGGTGCGTGGAGCAAGATGGGGCTCCTCTTGCCGTCTTACCTGATTTCCAGCTCTGCGCTTAAATATTTTTGGGGAGTGCTTATTTTTGGGGAGACACTTATTTTAGTGCATGCGCTCAAAAGCCCGATTGGGCTTATTATCGGGGTGTCTCATTTTCGGGGAAACAGAGTATCATTTTTCATTATTTCTTAAAATGAAAACAGAATGATAACATCTTGAAACTGAACAAATATGAAAACTGATGTAGATTATTTTGTTGGCTTCTAGTAATGAAATAGATGGGAATCTGATGTGGCAGAGTCTATTCTTATTAAACTCATCTTAGAAGACTTTAAAAGTTTTAAATAAACTCATTGTACTGCTTTCCATTCATTTCAAAAGCACTGCTATCTTAGTCATTCATCCTCCAATTTGTGAATGGACAGAACACCAGACTGCCAGCACACCTATCCTTTAATTCTTTCTAAAGAAGTTAAAAACTAATTCTAATTATTAACATTGTGAGCATACTTCTAAAATTAGCTGAGTAAATTTACCCATAAAATAAATATGCAAGATTACAGCATTTAAAAGTAAATTACCTGTAAATTACCTGTAATTATATATATAATCACAGAAGTTTCCATATTTCAAAAATATCTAATGTATTAGGGCTGTCCACAACCATGCTGAAGAGGTACTCTGAGAATTGTAGACTCAACAGACAAAGGTGGAAAATGTTGTATTAGGGGTTTTATAATACTACTTTTATTTTGTTTTTATACATATTCTTATTCATCTTTATAATTGTTTTTCTGATATCTGTGTGTGTATTTATTTTATTTATTTATTTGATTTTTATATCGCCCTTCTCCAGCAGGACTCAGGGCAGTGGACAGCCAAAGTAAAAACACAGCATACAAAAATTAAAACAATTTAAAAGATATTAAATAATGCACACCTAAATTTATGTGTACGCATATATGGAACAGTTCTACTATTGGATATTTTACTGTATCTGGCCTTACAACTGAACAAATAATCCTCTTGGTCGCACAGTCAGCCAGATATTTAGATTGGATTTGGCATTTTTGTCTTTCCCAACACCCTGGGATAGGGGTGTGTGTGTGTGTGTGTGTGTATCACAACTCTGTAATCCCTTGCATCGGGGTGGAGTCATGGCAACTGAATGGAGTAGAGCATTTACTGGCCAGATCCCCTTCCTGATGCCTATGTGGAGCTCACAGCAGATATTTTCTCTTTGCGCTCAGAGAGAGAAATATCTGCCACTAACTAGGATTGAACTCACCGCCTCCTTATTGTGAGGAGAGAGCTTCACCACTAGGCCACCACGCTGTTCGGATAGATAGATCTTATTTAATAATACTAAAATTATCATCACAGGATGTAACTGGTTCCAAATAAAATTACCTTTTGCAATTGACTGTTGGTGATTTTGTCAATGCTGATTGTGTTCAGGAGGTGCTCCAGTTGTTTTGGAATTGCAACCAAGGCACCTATTATTATAGATGCTATCTTTTGCCATAATTGTTCTACTTATATTTGCATATTTTGTGATTTTATCCAGTTCTATTTTTTTCTGCTGTCTCTAGGTATTGCAATGTCCACTATCCATACTTTGTCTTTCTGATTAAAAAAGTCTGAAGTGTTATATGGCAGACACTTATCTGTGGCTATTTTGGGGTCTCATCAGTTGTTGCTACTTTGTTATGCTACTATTTGTAATCTGTCTGTGTGATTTTCTTCCAGCAGTTAACCAGATGTTCCACTGTTTCTGTTTTCTCAATTCTAGCTTTATGCTCATTTATTCTTAAGGCTTGGTCTCATGGATCCAGAATTAGCCTCTCTGCCTCTTTCTTCAACTTTCCGGCTCTTAGCCATTACCAGGTCTTGTTCTCTGCTTTGTCTGCTAGTTTTTTTTATGTACTAGTCATGTAATAATTTTTGTTGCCATGACACTTTCCTATTATATAAGAGTGGTGGTGGCACAGTGGTTAGAATGCAGTACTGCAGGCTAACTCTGCTCACATTGCCAGGTGTTCAATTCCTTCAATCCTGACCGGCTCAAGATTGACTCAGCCTTCCATCCTTCTGAGGTCAATAAAATTAGGGCCCAGATCATTGGGGACAATAGGCTGATTCTGTAACCGCTTAAAAAAGGGCTGTAAAGCACTATGAAGCGGTATATAAGTCTAAGTGCTATTGCTATTCACTGTTTGGTTATTTCTTGTAGTTTGGTCTTCCCACTACTCAGTAACCCCTTCTGGTATTCTAGCTTTGGGATGTTTTCTGTCCTGAATGTTATGTCCTTCAGATATTCTTTTTCTAGCCTTTTTTCTTCTTCAACTGACTGATGTAGCTGCAACATTCCATATTCACCTATGCTTCTTGGTAAATAGTCTCTGACAACATCTGTGCATGGATGAAAGGCATGATTCATTGTCACTATTTTTTTGGTCTTGTTATCCAGAGCTTTTAGTTCTGCTTGAGTCAAGTTCACTTTCCAGCTGTTATCTAATGACTGGAATTGAATGACATTTCTGCCACTGACTTTGGACTTTAAGATCTTCATTCTTCTGTTGTATTAACTACTAATGTTCTTCTTGACTTTGTTGTCAGCCTGAAGGAGACTCAGGTATTTGGAATTATCTTCTTCATTCAAACTCTTGATGCTATTTGCACAGAACATTTTGATTCCTGCAATTTTCACTGATAGCAAGGGTGGCATATTTGTCCAGTCCAAAGTCTATTGCAATATCTTACTTACTATTTAGATAATATTGAACAGTGATGCCATTTTAGATGGAATTTAAGTTATGTTATTATCTATGTTCTTATTTATTTTTATATCTTATTATACTCAGTTTTTTTTCTGGTATGCATGCATGCATGTATGTATGCATATATGTATGCCAAAAATCTACTATTGGATATGCTTTATCTATTTTATAGTCCCACCAGTTGTGGTATTTCTTGCAGATATAAACAATTTCCTTTTAGTAGGAGTGTATTTCTCCATATGCAAACACAAATGTAAAGTAGTTAAGTTTTACCAACCCACCACTAGCTTTTAGTTTCCCAATAAAAAGGTTAGAGGCTTACCTTTCATATACAGTTCTATCTGTCTAATAAGTTCGTAAGACTTTGATCGGTCCAGTAATGTCCTGATAGCAGGAAGAGGATCCAGAATTATAGTTTCAGGATGAGCATCAATATATTCCTAGGGAAATGAAGACATGGCATGTGATATTCTTCAGAGAAGAATTACTGTTGGAAACTTAGTACATGATAGAAAGTTACTTCCAGTTCAGCATATCTTCAATTAACCATAATTGGATTTCAAGTAGTATCATATCAATCATTTAAGTAATAGATGGTGTGATTCTCAGCCATATCCTAAAATTAAAGTGACACAGAATATGGTGAATGTATAGTATGTGTAAACAGGTTGGATAACAACTCCTGAAATTCCCACTAAAGATGGTATGAATTGCAATTTCAAACAATTGGAAGACATCAAGCTGGGAGAGTTGATTTATAATTCCTCTCATTCCTCCTATGTTTGTATACAAAATTTTCTTAACAATAAATACGCTAAAAAGCCTTATTTGAACCTTGGTGATACTTTCATTGCAATGAACACTAGCCTAATAATAGCAGATATTAAAACAATTTAGGTATAACTAAATTTAAAATAATTTATACTTTTTTCTATAGCTATAATCATGATGGATAGCCATAACACTTCCCAAGCTAGACAGCCAAATACTGAATATCCATTACTGGAGCAATAAGTGATGGATTGACATTGTGATTATGAGTTCCCCAGAAGTACATGACCAGACACTGTGAGAACAGAATACTGGATGATCTAAATCTTCTTAAATTCATACAACAACTATGAAATCTTGATAGCAATGGCACCATTAACATCTGATGAAGTTAGACTCATGCCTGAATTAAAAAAATTATAGTAATGATGCCTAGAGACTTAAGACTGTATGCAAAATGTAATCACTTATGTAATATCTCAAGTTCAGCAGAGTTACCAATATGTCACATCTTTAATCTGATTAATCTAGATCTATATTCTAAAAAGCAAATTCAAAAATATTTTTAAAACTCTTCAATAATTAAAAAAAAGCCCACTAACAATCTCCTGACTCCAAAATACAAATCAATTCCGAACCTTCAACTGTTTTATTTCTGTCTTTAATCTGTTTAGTGCTATTTATGCCAGAAGAGCAAGGATACAGATTCTATTTATATGCAACTCCATGTTAAAACATTTAAAGGGCAGTAGGATCAAATTAATCTGAATACTGTGTGTGTGTTCTCCTTCTATAACATTTTTAATACCAGATAGCAGTAATCTAGACAAAAAAAATAAAGATATTTGGGAAAATGAACCTTTGCTTGGATTTCAGGACAGATATTTATTAAGGTATCTTAAAAAGCTCATCGAAAATCAACAAGCAATTCCTTCATTTGTGAATCATCAGAACTGCTTGCCAAAGAACAGTGACAGTAAACTTAGTGAAGAGGTGAATTTCCATAATTTTGTTTTTTAAAACATGTGCTGCAAAAGGGAATGAACAATTTATAACTCTACTTTTAAAAATGTAACCTGTATGTCAAACTGCTTATCTTCAAGTCTTTTTTTTGTGGAAATCTTACTAAAACCTGAAAGACAATTATTTTTAAGAAAAATATCCTGATGTCATCTAAGCTGTAAGTGCATATGAAAGTAGGAATCCAGACTCATGACTCTTTATTATTTAATAATATATGCTGCTCCACTTAAAAATTACTCTGAATAACTTGTAATTCCATATCTAAAGATTTTTTAAAAAATGACAATAACAAATATAACAAAACATTACAAATTGTAACAAAGATATAACAAACCTACAACCATTGCTACCAGCATTCTTCAGGATTGACCAGTCCATATCTTTAAAAGGTCCTCTCAAAAGAGCCAAGTTGTAATGCCTTTCTGAAATTATATCAGAATTGGGGATGTCCTAGAGCAGGGATGTCAAACTCAATTTCATTGAGGGCCGCATCAAGATTGTGTTTGACCTTGGGGGGCTGGGGAGGGTGTGGCCAGGGTGGGTATGGCCAGCTCGACATCACTCGTATTGAGGGCACCTGTGGTGGCCCGAGCGCTCTGCCAGTGAAACTAGCTTCTGAGCTCCATTTTGGCTGTGATGGCCTCCTGCAACCTTCTGCCAGAAAAAATGGAGCTTGGGAGTGCTGCCCGTGGCCCTCGCAAGCTCTGTTTTCAACTGCAATGGCCTCCTGCAACCATCTGCCAGAGAAAATGGAGCTCCGTTTTCGCTGGCAGAGGCACTGCGAGCCGGTCCTTTGCTGTTTCCAGGGCGGCCCCGCAGGCCAGATCTAAGCACCCTGCAGGCTGAATCCGGCCCTTGGGCCTTGAGTTTGACATCTCTGTTCTAGAGATATGCTGTTCCAGAGAAGTAGGACTGTGACAGAAAAGGTCTGTCCCCATGGTCCATGAAAATATCACACCTGAGGGGTCAGGATAGATAGCTACAAAGAGTATAGGCAAACCAAATAAGGAAAAAAAAAAAAGATTAAAAGAAGCCAAGACAAAATAAAGCCATTTTGATAGAAATAATTGTTTAGGCTTCTTTATCGAGATCCAAAACAACTTTTGTAGAATGTAATGTAGAAAAAAATGATGAAAAGGAAGTAAGAGGTGTTGTGAGAATATTGAACAATTCAGAAATTGCCAGGTGTAGATAATTAAGAAATGTTGAAATATGGGAATGCTTATGGAGTAGCTGTATGATTTTTTCAGTCTCTCTCTCTCTTTTTTCCCAGAAGACAGAAGAAAAGAAAACTGGAGAAAATAACAAAGATGAAACAAAGAAGTAGAATGATTGTAGTAAACAAAAGTAAGGATAGTACTGATAGTAATAGATGCCTTGGGTGCAATTCCAAAACAACTGACTATCACTTGAACACCATCAGCATTGACAAAATCACCATCAGTCAATTTCAAAAGATAGCTTTGCTTGGAACAGCTTACATCTTGTGATGATACTTTTAATATTTTTAAACAGCAACATCTGTCTATTCCAGGTCCTTGGGAAGGACTCAATAGGTGGACAAAAATGCCAAATTCAGTCTAAACCTCTGACTGTGCAACCATCCATAATAATTTATTAAATGTATATGCTGTCTGACTCCCAGAGAGTCTTCCCAGTTTGTTTTACATAAGTTAAATTGGGTATGTTAGCAAAAGAATAAAAATAAGCTGGATGCAGCAGGAACATAGGGTAATTAGGAAATGTGTATCTTAAAGCAAGAAAAGATATGGACAGGAATGAAAAGACCCTGGATGAATTTGGATTGGATAAAAAAAAATGAATAACCAATGTGAAAGAAATACAATGAGGTGACTTGGTCATAGGAGAACAAATGAGGATCGAATCACAAAATAAATATATAAAGGAATGAATGGGTGGAGTGAAAGAGGAAGACCAGCAGGTTGCCGATGTGACACTCAGAAAAGAGGCAAGTGAAAATTGTAAAGAACAAAAGGTATTGTATAAAGCAGAGTATGGGCGTAACAAAAGGAAGTATGATTAATAAAGATAGTAAGCCATTAAGAAATATTGTGAATGATTATTGTATAAGCTACATTTAGCTATGTTTCTTTTTCTGTTTATGTCATGCTTTTATTATGTTACCTTATCCCCCCCACCCCCCACCCCCATTTTTGCACTCTCCATAACTTTGTTCTTATTTGAAAGTAAACAGCATGACAGATATATTTGTATGGATGTATACTGGTATGTAGGCATATAAGCAACAGTACTGATTAAACTCATTAATTCTTTTTGTGATGGAATGATAATGAATGCATGTAAGCAGGACTATAAAGAACATTTGAAAGAGGAGATTTAAAAATGTGTTAGTGGAACATTTGTCCCTGAAATGTTAAAGCATCCGTGACCTTTGCAAGGCTGGTGGGGCCACTTTGTGGCCTCCAGGTGACAGACTGTACAAATATATGTGTATGTACAGTTTCTTTGATGACAGCCCTAATGGATGCATTGTCTCTGCCTGCACAGACAAGGAAATGCAACCTTTACCATTTCAAAAAGAGGCTCTTTGCTTGCATTAAAACATGCCACAAAAGAGGGATCTGCATGCACATGCTGTAGATGAACCACATATAATTTAATGGTGGGATAAGCAGCCTCAAGTCTATGTGGAGCTCCCCAATAGACATAATTTTTTTACCACCAAAATTAGGTTTGGTGATTTTCAATAACCTCCTAAGACAGAACTAAAGATAGGAAAGACAATACAAGGGTTTTTACAGAGGAAACATTCCCATCCTCACTCTTACTATCTTCCCTCTAACCTCAGAAATTATATATAAAAAAGAGGCTGAAAATCACTGTATCAGCAGAAGACTTGTGGCCCACTAATAGATTAAGAAACTCAGGTGTGGCTTCTGCCCATAAAACATTACTCGTTGCTGGTTTAATGAATATGTAAAAACATTCCTGACTAGACATTATTAGTCCAGTCCATCTTTCCCAAATTCGGAATTATGGGAATTAAAAATACCTGGAAGACTCAAATTGAGTGAAAGCTAATCATTTTCTAACTTTCTAGTTCTTTCATGGGAGCCTAAACTGGAACATAGCATTGATAACATAAAATTGGATGCCTTTTAATTCTGAGAAGAGTTGCTCAGTAATTCTTTCCCTTAAAAGAGTGGGCTAAAATAGTTCGGCACTAAACAGGCTGCAGAAATATGTTCATTTAAATTTGAAAGAGATAATGTGAAGAAATTAAGGAGCAACATGTAATACTTTAGAAACAGTTAAAAAGTTAGCTTCCTGCCACTTTGAGTTATCATATTGAGTCTGAGAGGGCAGAAAGTCAATTCCAAAGAATAAGGCTATACAAATCTTGTTTTAACTACAAGGCAAAAATGATTACAATGCCATTGTTCTATTAGAAACAAGCTTGCTTTTAATTTTCTACATATCCGGGAGAAAGAGAAGGAAATACAGCTAGGCACCGTATTTTTCCAGGCTTTGGCAATAAATGAACAGTTGTGTGACCATGTCATCAACGGAAATATGCAACTTTTAGAATGCAAGCGAGGAAAATGCCCCCTTGAGCAACAGCAAAATAAAATGGCTATATTAAGGCATTGCATATTTTTAGCTTGACCCTGGATTTCTCCATCTGTATCTCTATTTTAGTTAGGCCCAAGGAATAAAACTGATGAATACCTATTACCTTAGGCAGTTTGTTAACAGCTAAGTCTCATGGGAGACCAGTTCAGTTATTTTCACATGGGAAAAAAAATTATAGAGGAATAGTAATCTTAA